AAGATGTCTCAGTCGAACAGAGATAGGCGTTCACAGTTTGCTCAGGTAACATGTGTTTAATCAATGATACGACTCGTGAAAGCAATGCCTGATATCTCCAAGCATGGGAATCAGAGCCTAGGCTCGGTGAGGCAGCAGTGCGCATGCTACATAGACCTTGAGAAATAGCGCCTGGAGTAAAACGCACACCCCGATTGGAGCCGAGTAAAATTGCTCAACCAGAAAGATAAGAAACGGATTTACCGGACCATGATGTAGATCCTGATAGGAGACCCGAGTTGGATTAGCCGATCGAAAGAGAGGGGTTCGGGGTGAATAGCAAGTGTGATGAGGCCACACTAAATTTCCCAAAAAAGGGCACACATTTTTACGAGTAGAATGTAGACAAGTCAGAAGTTGTGATAGAGCGGAAGTTTGATAAGAGAGTATAGATTTGATAGATGGGCTAAGACAGAAAGAGGAATGATAGTGTAACCGTTTTTAGCAGAACGTTGGTTGAGGGATTGACTTTACCTGTCTCTTTGACGAGTTTTTAGCTTGGAGCAGAGAATGGCAACTTTCACTGATGATGCCGACTACGATGACGGCAAAACATGTGAGAATATACCAAGTCCACGGTCTAAAGCTGGGAATTTTGATAACTACTATGGAAGAGGACTTCAGCCAAAGTGCATTCTACTAAGTCGCCCTGACAAGACCAAGTTACGAAAACAAGGCCAACCCACTTCTAGAAATCGAAGGGAGATTTAGACGATACTGATGCCCACACCATCTTAATCTTCATATCAGAGATATAATAATTTAAGGAAAATACATGGCGCCGGATTAGTCGATAAGCGCAAGACTGCGACCACAAAAAAGGCCACACCATCTTGGTCTTCATACTTTCAAGCGCAAAAAAAGTTTAGCATCTTGAAACAGAATGTCCAAATAAAAACCCCTATTGCCCTGGTAGCGTTCGATTAGGTCCCAATTTTTCAAAATAATCTGTTAATCTTCCCTTATCATGAAAAGAATAAAAAACGTAAGGGCAACTAATCAAATGCTTTTTAATAGAAAAGTCAATCTGATTGGAAGATTATGATAGGCAATCACACAAGTAAAAATAATAGGAAATATAAAATTTAATATTATTTTCCAATCATGTGAACTTTTGGACAAGTCATCGGTTATCTAAAATTAGATTATTTACGAAGCTAGTTATGTCTTGATGGGCTCGCAACCACGGCAATCTCTAAGTAATTGTAATAACCACAGCTAGTATATTCAAAAACATGATTTTACTCAACCAATTATGTAGACGGAGAAAAGTGTCCTTTTAGGAATTTATAGCTGGTTATAATGGGGCATAAAATTTACATATGCAAGCTAACCTGTTTCATAAGCTGATTGCGACAGTGTACGGGAAACATCGCGTGGCCCTGATCTGTTGGGCGACGGACATCCAGGCAAAGCCTCTGAAGAATTGCTGGAAGCGGCTAAAGGGGTGATGGGGAGTAATGACAGGGGTGAAGAAGCATTTCCTTCAACTTTTGAATTGATTAGTGTAACCTCTGGTTGTCGGAGGCCGGTAGGTTGTATCGATATACCAGGAGAAATATTCTCGGTTGCAGTGCCGTTGCAGAAGTCACTACCATTCACGCTTCCACTAAAGCTGCTTGCATTAGCAATAAGCGTGCCAACTGAATGTTCTTCAGATGCGACAAGCACACATGACTCGCGTCGTGCCACCATAGCCTTGCCAGCCACAGACCAGGTGTCAGTATGAATGTCGTAGCGGTCAATCTGTTTGACCAAAACTATGTTAGGTGTCTGGCCGGAGAGCGAAGCCCTTTCTGTATCTGAAGAGCTAGGTAGGTCATTGACAGACTAAACCAGAGTGATATGAATTGTGTAAGTTATTAAATGATTAATT